TCTCTAGTTGCATCCATTTACTTGTAAAAACCTCAAGTTTATCTTTTCTTTTCAAGCTGAGTAATACTCCATTGTGTAAAAATACCGTATCTTTTTTATCCGTTCTTCAGTTGATGGATTATTGGGTTGCTTACAAGATTTAGCTGCGACAACCTGCACTGCTGCAGATATGAGTGCTCGTAAATCACTGTAGTGTGACAAGTGTATATTCACCTCAGATGCCCATTTTTGGATTGGGTCTTTGAATTTTGGAGTCTATTACTTTTTATTTCTCTATATGTCCTACATAGAAGGCCTTTATCTGAGCCACAGTTGGCTACATTTTTTTTCTCCCAATTCATGGCTTTTCTTTTTACTCTGTTTGTGATTTCTTTTGAGGTACAGAAACTTTTCAAAAAGATGAGATCCCAATTGTTGATTCTTTGAAGTATTTCCCATGCAGTTTGGTTTTTTTTGTTCATGAGTTCTCCATACTCCTACCCTTATGTCTAAGATTTCTACCTACTTTTTCCTCCAGGAGATTTAGTGTTTCTGTTTTAATATTTCAAAATTTGAGCCATTTTGACTGTAGTTTTGTGCATGGTGATAGACATGGGTCTAATTTTAGCCTTCCACATGTGGAAAATCCATTTTTCCAGCACCCTTTATTAAAGAGGCCGTCTTTGTTCCAGTGATGTTTGGCCCCCTTTTCAAAGATAAGAGGCTGAGTGTGTTTGTAGTCGTGTCTGCATCTTCTAATCTGTCTGTTGATCCTCAGGTCTGTTTTTTGCGAGAGTCATGCTGATTTCATCACAGTAGCTTTGTAGTATAATTTCAAGTTGTGGATTGTGATGCCTCCTGCCTTTACTTTGTTGCCTATATTAATTTTGCTATTCTAGGTCTCTGCTGCTTCCAGATGAATTTCAGGAATGTTTTCTCTAGATCCGTGAGGTATGCTAATAGCATTTTAATCAGGATTGTATGAATCTATATAACAATTTTGGGAGTGTGCCCATTTTCACAGTGTTGGTTCTTTCTATCCAGGAGCAAAAAATGTCTTTCCATTTTCTGAAATCCTCTTCAGTCTCTCTTTTCAGAGCACTATAGTTTTCACTATGTAAATCTTTTACTTCCTTTGTGAGATTGAGTCCTAAGTATTTCATTTCTGGGGGTATTATGTTGAATGGTATAGTTTCCTCAGTTTCTCTCTTGGTGCATTCTTTATGTGTGTATAGAAATGCTGTTGATTTTTTAGTATTGAGACTTTGTGTCCTACTATACTACTAAGCTTGGTAAATAAATCTACAAGTCTCTTAGTGGAGTCCCCCATGGCTGCAGCAGTTCAGTGTCCACCTGCCTAGAAGGATTTTTCAAAGAGGATTATGTCCAAGTATTTTAAAGGTTGATTTAGCTGGACACAGTGGCACAAACCTATAGCCCAGCTACTCGAGAGGCTGTACAAACAGCACCACAACTTCAAGTCTAACCTGGGCTACTTAGTGAGACCTTGTCTCAAAATAAAGCATGACAATGTCTGGAGATGCAACTCAGTGGCAGAGCAGTTGCTGCAGGTGTAAGGCCCTAGGTTCCACCACCAGCACCCCCAAGTGAATGAGTGAATGAGTGAATGAGTGTGTATTTGCTAAATGTTCTGGTTAATTTCTGGGTAAATGGTAAAGAACAATGATGAGTGTCTAATAAAAGCCAGTATAAATATAAGAAACAAATTATTGATGGTAGAAGAGAGGTTTTACCTCGTATACTTTTAGAACAGAAGTGCACTGAGACAATGGTGATTGTTAAACAGACACTAATTAATGAACAGATGACCGGAGCAAAGCAGAGTCTTTCCAAGTCATGTTTCTTCATCTGATTTGCAGCACAGATTCTTACTTGCATTTCCTGAGGACAGCCTCGTCTGGCAACACGAGATGCAGTGGAAGGAGGTCAAATCTCTTACATCAAGTGTATGGAAGGCGCTAGGGTTAATTCTTTCGTAGAACCCAGGTGGAGAAAAGCTAAGTTATGGAGAATAAAACTAAGCCCTTGGCAGAGATGAGGTCCACCTTTGGGAAGGGCGTGGGGTGTGGATGCATCTCCCTGAAGCACAGTTGCCTATCTGGGCATGACATGATGGATTTGAATCCTATGAAACCAATTTCCCCAAAGTTCAAGACTTAAAACTGCCCTTTCCTTGGATTTTCCCTGGAGAAGAGACAGGAAATAGTGTTCGGACCTCGACTGGGGTCTTGTGGCCCTACACTTTGCTTGCTTTTGGTTTCTTGTTTTGGTATTTTTGTTTAGCTTCACATTTCATGTTTCTACATCACCAATTTGGAGAGGCACGGCCTAGAAGCACGTTGGGGTGGGAGAAAGCCTGTGTGTGGCCATCAGAGGGAAGGAGTCGCTTGTCCTTCTTTAGCTTTCTTTCAGTCATGATGAGTCTTTCATCACTGGCCATTTTCCATGGTGCTTTTACAGATAAGAGAAACTCTTTGGTTTTTACCAGTAAGTAAGAATATCTAGGATTCTCAAAAGAATATCTAGGATTATTCTTAAAAGAATATCTAGATAAGTCACATTCTTATCTCAGAAAAGCAGTAGTGCTCCAAAAAGGCCTTTAAATGTGTTAGTGTGTGTTAGAGATACTCAAAAGAATATCTAGGATTCTACATGGGCTGGAGAAAACCTTCTACACAAATTAAGAAAACTAGAAATTCAGTTTTTGAAATAAAAAAAGATTACATGAGATGTAAAGTTTTATCTGGTGAAAAGGAGAGCTTATATACATGTCAGTGTCAAAAATAGATTCAGAAAGGAATAATTGAAAGTTAGATGACAAATACTTATCAGTAGTAGAAAAACTGTTCTTCTAAACTACATAGAAAAAAGTTAAAACTCAAATAGAAATAAAAACCAAAAACCAAATGCTATCGGTCAGCCAGCGTGCATCCTTGCATGGAGCTGCAGAGCAGCAGCGGTTGCCTATTGATAGAAACACAGACCAGCCGCCCCAGGAAGTCTGAGCGAATTACCTTCCCAGAGGCATGGCGGGCTTTTCTCAGAAAGGGCCTGTCCTGCGTCATTGTCATTGCAGAGGAGGTGGCAGCTGCCATCAAAGATGTTTCGCTTTAAATGTGTGCATTCACTTATGCAAGTTATACCTCAAAAGAGATCGATTTTAAAGTTCTAGTTGATGCCCTTAAATGATCTTTTAGAGTCTATTGGCACTGGTTGCCAAGAATACTGCAGAAAGGGGTATTGTCCTACCTCTGTTTTAGAAGGTGAGTTCTTATGGGCTTTATAGCAATGGCTTTGAAGCTTTAGGATTGCATCTTTCAATCCAGCAATCCCATGTCTCCTTCTCTGTTACTCAGGGCGAAGGGCCAGAGCCATGGTACCAGGGAAGTCTCTGTCTGCAGTTGGAGGGTAGAGGGTGAAATTGTGGAGCATTTTTGTCTTATTAAAACATGGAATAGTTTTAAAACCACAAGTGAGAGCTTTATGGGGTGGGAGAATTTCTGTGAATTGCTAGAGAAAACCATGATACATATGTAAAAGTCACATTCTTATCTCAGAAAAGCAGTAGTGCTCCAAAAAGGCCTTTAAATGTGTTAGTGTGTGTTAAAAAGTGGAAAGATTTCTTGCAGGAGTCAGCAGTAAAAAGGATAAGACATGTGATGAGAGGGGGAAAGAGATGGAAATGAGCAAACAATTAGGTGTATGTGGCAAACATCAAATTAGCCTGTTGATGGCAATTAAAATTCATGTGTATTATCCCATATTTGTGAAATGTTTGCATGGTGTAGGAGAAATGTTGGTGTCTTTATGCGGTGACTTACATGGATATTTATCCCATATGGTCAAACTTTAGAAAACTTGTTGCAAAGTGATGTATATAATGTGATTCTATTTTCTAAATAAACAGAAGAGCTCCCCTGGGCTTAAGTTTTTGCTCTGTTTAGTCAAGGGGCCTTTGGATTTCAGGTCTCTTTCAGTTTCTGGGAGACGCTTTCCAAGCACAGGTTTCCTGCCCCGGGCCCTCTTGCTCTGCAGCCCACAGTGAGGGGAGACTGTGCAGCGCAGCCTAAGCCTGCAGCACGCTGCCGAGAGAGGCCTGAGAACCAAGTGTCCCGGCTCCTTGGGTTTGCTGCCCTTTCCTTGGATTTTCCCTGGAGAAGAGACAGGAAATAGTGTTCGGGCCTCGACTGGGGTCTTGTGGCCCTACACTTTGCTTGCTTTTGGTTTCTTGTTTTGGTATTTTTGTTTAGCTTCACATTTCATGTTTCTACATCACCAATTTGGAGAGGCACGGCCTAGAAGCACCTTGGGGTGGGAGAAAGCCTGTGTGTGGCCATCAGAGGGAAGGAGTCGCTTGTCCTTCTTTAGCTTTCTTTCAGTCATGATGAGTCTTTCATCACTGGCCATTTTCCATGGTGCTTTTACAGATAAGAGAAACTCTTTGGTTTTTACCAGTAAGTAAGAAGAAAGTTAGGGCCTGCCTAGGGATAAGCAGCATTTTCGTCAGACTCTCCTGTCCTGGTCCATAGGCGAGCCTTTGCTCTTCATGTCTGCCCAGTACACACGCCCACAGCTCTTGGTGCGTGCACCCAGGGCCTCTGAGATTCCTTCTGCTCACCTTTATTTGTCTTTACCAACACAAGGCTTGAATACAGAGCCACTCAAGTCCACTGTAATTAAGAGCAGAAGAGCATATATGTGTTTGTGTTTAACATATGTTTAGGTGTGCATTCCAGAGCATTGATGGACGACAAAGTGGATTAAGATTCACTAGTTCTTTAATTGCCCACCTTTCAAGATAGAAAGTTAAGAGCGATCAATTAGCTGTAGTAAATATTAAATGAAATTAAGTGTAAAAACTGAATGCAATATGCGTTATATGAATTGTTTAACATGAAATTCAGAAAATTGAAATTGCTTATTCAAAATATTAGTTTCTAAAGAAATCTTTTTAATATTATCTGCTATTCCTTTTTCTGCTTTCTGTTTGTTTTCAACAGACCATACACTCCCATGAAGGGTGGGATCTCCAACGTGTGGTTCGACCGGCTGAAGATCTCTAACGACTGCCCCGAGCAGCTGGAATCCATCGACACCATGTGCCGGGTGCTGACCGAGCTCATCGATGAGGAAGTCCGGAGCGGCGTGAGCAAGAGCAGGATCCTGCTAGGTGGGCCTGGCGCGTTGCTGCTGTCTGTCGCTTACTCTCATCTAGTTCTGCGCCTAGACTTACATGGAGCACTGTCTAGAATCTCTTGTGTATCGTTTGGCTCAGTCATTATTTTAGACATGCTACGGCTAGTGAAACAACGGCTCATGAAAGTATGACTTAGCATAATTTGCCATGTCCAATGGCAATTAAATTTCTCTTTTCAGTTAAATAGATTCTTTATTTCACTTTCAAAAATATTTTAATTAACTTGTCATATAAATGTAAGATTACACTACCATTGCTGTGATCGAGATGCAGTATAAATCAAAATATAACATCAGATTCATGAAAATTAAACTTTAGAGTAAATCTCATAAGAATAACGTAAGTAAGTCTTCAGCAAGCCCTGTTGCCAAGAAAACATAATTCCACTTTATGGAAGTTGATTCTGTTTAATACTTTTTCAGTCCTCATCACATGCACAAGCTAACAAAATCTCAATCTCTCGTACATACAAAAGTGAGGCAAATGTATAATGTTTGAGTGGCACAGTTCATATTCGGGTGAATTTTTTCCCAAATATGTCAATCTAAGTGTATAATAGTTGTATTTGATGATGAAATTATGAGCCAAATTAAAAGTTACATTTTAAGTAACATGAAAAGCCTCACTGAAGCCCTAAACAGGCAAGACTCGTATAAATTAAGGCACAAACTATAAAATTCCTTTTTCACTGAAGTACCAAACAGCCCAGTGATTTAAAGAGGTAACATGGGAGAAGTGATAGAATTCATTTGTTCTGTCTTCGGCTTGACTTCCACTTCGGTTGATTAAAAGCAGTACAAAAACTAAATAAATAAATAAAAAATGAAGGCAGTACAGCTTCTAGCCCTGGGGCATCAGCTTTCTGGGCCTCAGTTTCCTCATCTGCTCTCCAGTTTTGCATTTGACATCAAGGGCTAGCCCTACTAGGTACAAGCATGGAGCATTCTGAGAGTGCTGGGAAGAACTTGGAGGAAGGGCGCCAAACACAGTCCAGGGCTTCGGAGACGGAAGGCAGAATTAAAATGTGCAGAAGTCTACTGGAGTCCATCTTGTACCCTTCAGTAAGTATTTTTTAAGGCCCCACCACATGCCAGGCAGATGCCCTGAGGGATACAATATAAATAAGGATCTTTCCCCCTAGAGTTCTGGTACCCAACAAGGGCTGGCAAGTACTGACAGTGAGAACTGTGCCCCAGTCAGGATGCGATGTGTGCCGGCGTGGAATAGCCAGTGATCTGCAAGTCAGTCAGTGCCCTCCTCGGTAGTTCCCAGCACCCATCCCCGTGCCCACCACAGAGCCTGTTCCCGGAGGCCGCTGACAGTTACCATAGTGAGTATCATTACCGGGGAGTGAGTAGATGATTTCAGCAATTAAATACAGCAGGAATTTAGAGCAAGAAGGAGCCGCAGCTACTTGGGCTGTTAGCGTAAGGTATCCAGAGGGGGCAGGGGCATTGGAGGTGCGTAAGTCGCTACAGTCAGCAGTGTGGCACAGAAGTCCGGGTATGGGCAACGATGGGGGCAGTGCGGCAGATGCAGAGAAGGTGGCTTGTTTCTTGGGTCTCTCGGCACACTATCTGGCTGTCACGGGGAGGCTGCTGTATGGCTGGGAAGAGGTCTGCAGGCCTTGGCACCGAGGCTTGGGAGCCAGGGAGCAGGGTGGCATGGCCGCAACAAAGGCGGAGCCAGTCAGAGTCAGTGCTCCTGAGCTGACCTGCCACCTACTACCTGCGCTGGAGTTTGCTATGTAATCTGTAAACAATAATATAAGGAAATGTCTAAATAATTATAAAAGTAGAGACGATGCTTAGAAAATGTTTGCTTCATTCAGGGTTTCTACTCAGCATTTTGTTGTTGTTGTTTAATAATAATTCAACCAAATCTGTTCATTTAATAATGTACTGAATAATTAGTGAAGGATTATTGAAGAATGTTATTAAGTCATGCATTTAATTATAGTTATACTTTGGAAAGAGGATCTGGCAGAAAATGGTGAAAGTTGAGCAAGGGAAAAGAGCTATTGAATGTATTGGGACAAGGTTTTGAGACTAAAATTGGAAGAGCCTTTGGAAAAGAGATTAGGAAGAGAAATTGCTTTAAAGTGAAATTATGAAGTCTTCCTCAGGGAAAACCACAGAAGGCATACTGCTCCGTTCTCCATGACACCTGTAGTAAAGAGGTGTCACATCCAGTGGACCCAGGGTCTCTCCTGCACATCCCCAGATCAACGCTGTATCAGCCTCGTCCTTGACTACCAAAGAGCCCATAGTTTCCTTAGGGTTAGAGAGCCAGGAAAAATTTTGAATCTAGGTTTACTTCATTTCAAACTCAGTGCTTCTTCCATTAACCGGAATCTTTTAAGATTCTCAATACATAGTGTCAAGTTTCTTTCAAAAAAGGTTATACTTTTGTGGATAATTCTGCTGCCATGGTAGTGTCTTCATTGCCTCTTAAAAAATTTTGGAGGGCTGGCCAGCTAGCTCAGCAGAGTAAAGCACCTGCTTAGGCAGATGCAGGGAATGGGGGTTCACAGGGAATGGGGTTCGATCACCAGCATGCTGTGTTAGCCCCACATCTTTACACAAAGATGGCAACTGTGTAATCCTAGCAGTTGGGAAACTGAAAAACAGGAGGATCACTGAGTCCAATATGTAGCGAGACCATGTAGACCCTGTACTAAATGCATAAAAATTTTTTTTTGAAAAATCAGGAGACAAGAAGTAGTAATTTCAGTGTGCAGTTTTCATTTTAATTCTGTTACAGCTTGACACTAAAGGCCTTCTTGAATTCAGTCTGTTGATCTGTTCATTTATTTATTTATCCAGATAATTTAATTCTCTAAAACTTTTCCCTCTCTTGAACTTGGGTGAATATTCAAATAGATTTTCTACATTTCTTTCCAGAATGTGTGGTTGTTTGTCTTTATTATTAATTTACTTGATTTTTTCTTTTCCTAGTGTGTTTTTTATATTGTTATTCATTTAATTCTCAGATTCACATGAAATTTTTTTCTTCCATGTAGTGAATGATTTATTTTCTGAGCTACCAAGAGAAATTTGTGAGAAGTTAATCTTATTTATAATAATAAACCAATCAGTAACATACCCCTTTGTTTTAATCAAGGCTCCATTAACTTATGAGAACATGATCTTTTGTAAGAGTTGAAGACCTACTATATTATAAAATTAGAAAAAAAATTGAAGTTGTGGAGTCATGCATAGTCCTGTGTATAAATATGGTCAAATCTCACTTTGAGATAAGAAAATGTGTTTCTTTAGAATTGATGGAGTGAGTGGATTCCTTTCTACAACTCTCCCCGCTTGAGATAAGGAGGAGACAGAAGTGTAGTGTCCTTGCTTTACTTCTCGGTGGATGTCTGAGGATGATCCAGTTACGTGGAGTCACGCATCTGCTGCGGCACATGCGCGGTTCTTGTGCTGTTGCACGATAAAAATGAGTCTTGTTGCTCACCCCCACCCCCGTATGTGGGTTCTTCATGAATCTTAGCTATTGGTACACACAACAAATAGAAAATGCTATATACAGCCCCATGAGATTTTTGTTATACTTGTCTTTAGTTTTACTAATCTAGCTAAATCTCTCGTGTGTTTGAAACTATGACACAGGAGGCATTGCCATTTCTTTAGTTAGCATTGCTGTTTAGAAGTAGATAGACCTGCATGCCCTGAGCTCGCAAGCTCAGTAACTGAGCCAGCCGCAGGCTAGGAAATGACAGCTCGGGCTCTGGCCCTGGGCTGCTCGGCCTGCCTCACCGCCCACAGGTGCATCGCTTTCCCAAGCGTCTGGCTCTGAGACTGTGATAATAATCCCTCCCTTGGGAGTTCTGATAATTCAATCAGTCTACTCGTGTGAAGTGCTCCACTTAGAAATGCATCTGGCGCGCAGCGCCGTAAAAGCTTTCTTTCCTTCGTTCCATGCTTCCCATGCCACCCCACCAAGGTGACCAGATGGCACAAAGGCCGCCCTGGGAGCACGCCGCCTCCTGGAAACCTAGGGGGCTCGCACCGCCGCCGCCTCCCGGCACTTGCCTTCCCTGCGCGCGTATAAGCTATGCCTCTCTCTGCATTTTTATTTTACTGCTCGTAGATCAGATACTATTGCATACTACTTCTCCACTGACTTTTATGCTCAATTGTAAATCTTAAGTTGTTAGGTAAGATTGAACTGCTCTTCAGAATATTGTTATGAGCCAGGGATTCAGTGGGTAAGCGAAGGGCGATTGCACTTGCATCACGCTTTATGTTAATTATACACACACTGTGCTGAGGTTATGTGTTTTAAAATATTAATTATAAAAGGAAAAAATTAAAATGTAAGACTGAAAAGAAAACTTGAAGGTAATAGATATAAAAATTGTGAACTTTATGCTTTTTGCTTACTATACAATAAAGCCCTGCTCTAACGTCAAACAGGAGAAGCTGCTGGGACCATGGCTCCGGGATTATAATCGCAGCTGCCTGGACTTTCTAAAGAGAACTCCTCTCTGTATGTGATGCGGGCGGGAGCCCACTTGTCCTTTGGGTTTACCTGGATTAATGCTATTTTATTATGTAAAACAGTTTCAGAATTAAGCCCGCGTCATCTATGGTCCTTTCGGCAGTCTGGCCCATTTGGTCCGAGGGAAAGGATACTTCCTATTACTAGGATTATCTCCAAGCTGCTGATGAAAAGTTCAGGGCTGGACTTCCAAGAAGCCTCTCAAAGGTTTAGTTCATGAGGTAGGAGTCGGAGCCTACTCTGAGGCCACGCACGTGTTGCTGTAGGTGGGCCTAGAAGGGGCGGGGAGCAGGCCGGAGGATGTGGGAGGAGGGGGTTCTGGGGCCGCTGTGCACAGCAGGCGCCCCTCCCACCGTGTCCGCAGGGCCCAGGGAGAGTGTGACTCCTAAGTGAAGGGAGAGCCAGGCGGAGTTACGCACACCCGTGATCCCTGCACTCTGAGAGGCTGAAGCAGG